TCTAAGCAATTTGTAGGCCCTATTTGAGGGGTATGTGTACTAGTGAAAAGGACATGTTTCAGATTCAGATATGCCTGGTTTAAATCTCAGCTCTGCCATTTACTAGCTGTGTGGCCTTGGACAAATTATTTAACATCTCTGAACTTGTGTTTTCCAGTCCTATAGTGGACTGGAGAAGGACATCATGCTTGGTAAAGTAGAGGGTCAGAGAAAAAGAGGAAGACCCTCAACAAGATGGATTGACACAGTGGCTGAAACAATGAGCTTAAGCATAACAACAATTGTGAGGATGGCGCAGGACTGGGCAGTGTTTCATTCCATTGTACACAGAATCGCTATGAGTCAGAACTGACTTGACGGCACCTAACAACAACAACAATAATGGAAATGATAATATATTGTAAATTCATCGCATTTTCAATAAATTATATAATTTACACAGTACAGTATATATAAAATAGCAATTATGCAGTAATGAAAATTATTATTACTTAAAATGTTGTTGTTGTTAGGTGCCATCAAGTTGATTTCAATTCATAGTGACCCCACGTGCAGAGTAAAACTTCTCATAAAGTTTTTGAGGCTGTAATCTTTATGGGAGTAGATCTCTAGGTCTTTCTCCCGTAGAGTCGCTGGGTGGGTTTGAGCCACCAACCTTTCAGCTGGCAGTCGAACCCTTAACCATTGTACCACCAGGGCTCTTTATTAAAATACAGCCCCAAACTTAGTATTTTCTAGTTTCTGCATAATTCTCTATTAGTTCACTAATAAATTATTGAATAAGAGTTTCAAATAAATTGAAGTACACTTAGCCATAGTTGTCTGGGAAAAGACATCATTGTAGCTATATATACCTTAATAATAATGAATCTAATTTCAATATTAAAGTACTCTCATTAGGATTATTACAAAATTCTGACACTTAACCTACCAATTGAGGAAATTAAATCCAAGGTAAGAGCTAACTTTACTACATTCCATGTTACTGATACATTCATTTCATAATAGCTAAGTAAAAAAAAAAAAAAAAACTGACTCATCAGCTACAGTTGTATAGTCAGTAAAATGTACCACAGTGTTGAGAAATTTATGTAATTTCATTGCCCTGAAAGTTATGTATGTCTTTTCAAAATCAGGTATAAAAACTGACTTTGCCCGCATCCCATCAAGAAGTCAACAGCAATCTTTGAGTTCTTTTGTTTTTCCTCCCTACTCCTCTTGTAATAACCACACATCTAATGAAAATCAATTTCCAAAGATGAACCCCAGGGAATTAATAATCTATCAAATACAGCTACTTAGAAGAGAAAACAAATTCTTAAGCAGAAATAATACTTAGCTTTATGTAGCAAGTATTACCAAAGCTGGCCATAGGAAAATGGTCAGGATTAAAGATTAAAGAACAAGACATTCTGATCATCTGCCTGCACTTCTGTAGCTCTACTCTACAGTGTAAAATGACCCTCCTATAAAGGATTTTCCTAGATTAACAGGAACAGGACCCTTGGTCTCTAAATTTCAAATCTCCTTTGTCGCCACCATATTATCACAAGCCCTGGAGCTCTTGCTCAAATGGTGCAGCCATACTCATGACTGCCAGAATAGGGATATTAGACATATCTTGATAAAGAGCAACATGGTGAGGACAGTTAAGATATTGCATTAGGTTGACAGTCATTTGGCATGATGGTGGCACAGACACCTGAATTTGAACCTTTGCTCTTTCTCAGCCATAGGACCTCTCTAAACCTCCATTTCTTTATTATATTTTGAGAATTATATGATTTAATATATCCAAAACACCTAGTACACAAGTAGGCACTCAATACATGATAGATGCTATTCGGTTGTTTTAATTTTTTTTTATTTTACATGCATTTTTATGTGTTTTATATTTTGATCCAGAGCTGTTTTAATGTACTCTTTGGTAAAGCGGATCAAATTAAATAGAATGCTGCAATCTCATATTTTCTAATAAGCATCAGGGAACTAAAAAGCATACGTGATAGTCTTCCAGACTATGGCAAAGAAGATGCAGTATGTATCACTAGATACACAGGGAACATGACTGGGGAGAAGGGCGGAAATTACAAAGGGCCTCAAATTTTAAATTTTTTTATTCTCTATTCAAATGTAGTTATACACACTCACAGGCATACACTAACAGGATTAAAAGTAGATGTTACCACACTATCTTAAATTTTTACTTTGTTACCTATGAACACACTACCTAAAGTACACTATGGATTGGTATTTTTGTTAAATTCTCTAATTATCATGTGAATAGCCTAATTATATTGCATGTACTTTTCTTTTGGTGTTAAAAGCATTACTTTTAAAAATGTGAACACTTATAATACAGAGGAATTTGATAGTCCTATTTTCGCATGTCTTCATTTGTTAACAAATTGAGATCCTCAAATAATAAAGTAGCTTAAGCCTCTCTTTACAGCTAAAAATTTCTGCCATAGTATAAAGAAATTAATTGATCATCTAGGGAGGTGCTATAAAATATAATTTTACTGTGACACCCGTTACCATCAAGGTGATTCTGACTCAGATAGTAAGTACATCTTAAGAAATACTGATAATGACAGAAGTTAGTCCTTACTGATATCTTACTATTTGCCAAGCACTATGTAAAGTACTTTTAAAAGCACTGCCGCATGGAGTTCTTTCAACAATGCTATGAGCTAGGTACTATTATTTGTTTTGCTTCACACATGAGAAAACAGAAGCTTAGAGGAGTTAAACAACTTGCTCAAGCAGGTGGCACAGTCAGTATTTGAACCCCAGAAGTCTGTGCGCCTCCGAACAACATTCTAGTGTATTGTATAGATTCATGACCTAGACTACTTTAACTGACTTTTTTTCTTTTTTGTATTGTGACTGTTTGCTATTCAAAATTAATTTTTTTTCACTTTTTTTTTTAAATTGTACTTCAGGTAAAGGCTTACAGAACAAATAGTTTCTCATGAAACAGTAGTACACATATTGTTTTATGACATTGGTTAACAACCCCACAACATGTCAACCCTCTAACT